CTCACTTATTAGTGCTTAAGGCTGAGCTTATTGGAAAGTGAGGACTTCGAGGTGGATAAATCAAGCATTGTGTGGCAAAAGATGAAGTGTATGAGATTACAGGATGAGTGGCTTACTCACCTCTGAGCCCTCCTTCTCCCAAGGCTTAGTCCTTCGTGATCTAATCAGTGAGAGGGCGCAGACGAGCAGAAAATGGGCGCCAAATGGCGCTAGCGTCGAAAATCAGTATCATGTTCGTAAGCAGGGCATCAAATTTCTTCTGTTGTTAGGCAAAATTTCTACAAAAAAAAATAAAATTTTGAGTTTTGGGGCAGTAATAGTGACATATGTACTACTGAATGTTGTTCAAATTTTGACTTAACTGAACTTGACTTGAGTGAAATGGTTGGTGTTTAAAAAATAAAGTTTTGGCTTATCGTTGGGATTTTTAAAAAGGAAGTTCGAGTCTTCAAGGTTCGCTTATTGCTTCGCAGAAACTCTTATTTTTAGCAAGTATGATATCTGAAAGGGAGAATTGCGAATTTTCCAGGACATTTTCAATTTTCCACTACTGAGCGAATGAAATTTCAATCTGCGAGGTAAGTTCTGTATGTAGAAATCTCAGTGATGCTGAATCAACTCATTTTTTTGCAAACCTTAAATTTTAAGGAGTTGCATCCGTTGAGATGTATCCGAAACAGGGTCAACCCTACGTTGTTACTAGTAACAACGGGGGGGGGTCGTACTTGGTTGAGTTTGTAGGAGGGGGGTCGTACCGTGGTTGAGTTTGTAGGAGGGGGGTCGTACCCGTTTCAGTCGCTTGAAATCACATGTGAGTTTGAGGTGAAACTGAAGTTTTTATGGGTAGGTAGGCTGGGTGAGTTGAGGGGCGCAGGAAAAAATTTGCCGTTTCAGCGCGCGTATATACCCCCGCTCGACGGCATTTTTGGAGGAAAAAGTGGGCGGAGTTTGGTGGGTTGAGTGGTATCAGAATACTATAGAGACGAGGATGATGGTGGTCGAGGTGTGGAAAAGGGGGCTCTTCGCCGGTACCAGGCTGCACCCAGGGTCAACCGTCCGCCATTCCAATTCCGGAAACTTAATCACCCCCCCCCCCTTAATAGGACCCGATACGACCCTCACCACCACCATCGGCCTTTGGTGGGGTGTCCTAAGCCCTCTAACCTCCACCCACATCCTCCCCATAACGGCTGTTCCGTAGTATGTGATTATATTCCCCTTCTCCTGCAACCACAATCCCTTCCACTTTCGCAAATTCGACCCTCCTCCTTTCAACGTTCTACAATTAAATTTCGCCGCAATCGTCAAAAAAGTCGTAGAGTTACGACCGTCCGTTTCGACCAACGGCAATACCAAATACGACCCCCCCCCCTCCCAAGACTCAAATACAACCCCGCGTTGATGACAGTGCAAGGCATGGTTGACCCTGTCTGCGCCCCAATGGCACCGTGACCGAGCGATATAACTGCCTCCCATGCCGGTTTGCTTATTGAAAGTCCTTAGTTCCCAGCAGGGTCAGTCCTATCGTTGTTACTTTTTCAAAAAATTTTACGACCCCCTCCCCCAAGGTGGACTTGGTACGACCCCCTTTTCCACACCTCGACCACCATATTCCTCTCTATAGTATTTAATTCTGGGTACCACTCAACCCACCGCCCACTTTTCCTCAAAAATGCCGTCGAGCGGGGGGAGGGGGTATATACCCACTATGAAACAGTAAAAATTTACCAAAATTCCCTAAATTTCAACCAATTTACCCCACTTCTACCTATAATCCCACTGCTTCATTTTCTAGGGGGGTATATACGCGCGCTGAAACGGCGAATTTTTCTCCCATGCGCTCCCAACTCACCTAGCCTACTACTCGTGAAAACTCCACTTTCACCACAAACTCACATGTAATTTCACGCGACTGAAGCGGATACGACCCCCCCTCCTATAAACTCAACCAGGTACGACCCCCCCGTTGTTACTAGTAACAACGTAGGGTTGACCCTGGTTCCCAGTACCCTTGCATGGGAGAAAAATAGCGTGCTCCAACACGAAGTGCGTGACGCACCGCAAATATTCTGTGTTAGAACGCGAAATACAATTATTTGTGTTGGAAGGGATTATATCAGAGCTCCTGAGCAGAAATGGGTCGTAAAAGTTCAAACATTGGT